GGATGGCTGGCCGAGGGGGCGTGCAGGACGGCGGGGGCGGAGGCCGGGGCAAGCACGCTTTCGGGAGGGTGCACCCATCCGAGACCGTCAGATTGAACAAAGCTACGCTGCAAAGATTCAGCGGCGCGTTGTGACGGCTAGCTTTGTTGGTCTCCTAGCTACCACAAGTGTCAAGCACCGTCAGGCTGATTAGACTATTTGGCTGAGCCTCACCCCAGCTGGATGCTTGACGCGCTGAGGATGACGGGGGTGATGCCGCCGATCGGCCCGACTGCCAGCTGGTGCGCCAGGTTCATGCCAGATGTGCGAACTGGGCGGAATGGGGTTGAGCACATTTTGCAAGCGCGAGTGTGTGTGAGTGTGTGTGCACGTTTAGTCAGGGCACAAGGAAATGGAGATCACGGGCGTTGACATGCATGTTTGGCTGGCCGGCTGCTGTTTGCAGCCTCCAGCACCTGTGAGCCCGGCTGTGCGCGTGCAGGGAGTTTAAGGCGTCAGCCCAGCAAAGTTGTCCAGGCAAGCAGCTGCCTACGCGCCCCCAACACACGCGCCCCGCGCGAGTGTGTGCACATACGTGTGCGGCCGCGCGCACCCTCTGTCGGGTAGAGGGGGCACATGGACACCGCCAGCAGGCCGCCGATCCACCCGACCAGCACGAGAAACACCGCGTGCGCCAGCCACGCGAGCGCCACGCTGCCGGCGCGCGTCATGACGGCAGCGGGCGCGATGAGCGCGCCGGCGAGGAAGAAGCCCGCCGCGGCGGCACGCATGCGCGACATGCCGCGGTCGCAGAGGTACCCGCACACCCTGTTCAGCAGGTTGTTTGGCCCAGGGGTGGTTGCAATGTGGAAGGCATCGAGGTCGTGATGCGACAGCGCTTGTGAAACAGATATGCACATTGATGCACCGCGAGGAATGAGCCGTGGCTGATATCAAGGCCACCTGAAGGGCTGGCCGCCCTTCTCAATCAGCCGGCTGACGGACAGCCGAGTCGCAGCGGTCATCAAGGCACCAAGCGGGCGGCCGCAGTCGCTCTGCGCTCCAGGCAGTGGCCATGGTGAGGACGAGGTTGGCGCAGGTGAGGCCGAGGGACAGCGTGGAGCTCATCCCCGGGACGTTCTTGCTGCAAAAGGGCAACGGAGTGCGCATTGATGGGGCTTCATAAGGCGTGTTTCGTGTGCGGCGAATGCGCGTGCATTGCAGAGAGTTGCATTGCAATGGCTGCGAGGCGCCGCGGGGCGGGGTGGCATCCAGATCTTGGTCGCCAAGCGGCGCCGCACCTGAGGAAAGAGGGCCAGTAGCTGGAGAAAGCGTAGAACCCGCCTGCGGTCCACCGGGTGGTGCAGGTGCTTTGTCAGAGGGGAAGCAGCCAAGCCATGGTAGCAACAACCCCGCAGACGGGCTGCCCTATGCCGTCGCACTGGCGGGTGCGCGTCCAAGGACATGCGCTCGGAGGCAGGGGCAAAAATAAATGATGCGAAGAGGACGTGCGTGCGCCTACAGCGTGCTGCTGACCGCTATGATTGATGCTGGCCCCTACTCTTCCCCCATCCTCGCGGTGCGGCCGCTGGCGCTCACCTGCGAACCAGAACTCCCAGATGAACTGCAGCAGCACCGAGTGCCAGTGGTTCTTGAGCATGTTGCGGACGGGGTGGTACTGGACCTTCTTCTTGCGGGGCAGCGCGTCGTGAGGGGCGGGCGCGTCGTCGACGCTCTTGGCGGCGGCCAGGGCGGGCGCGCGCACGTGCGCCGAGTCGTCGGCGGGGACGCCGCCGGCGGCCTCCATGGCATCGCGCTCGAGGGCGGCCTCAACCTGCATGACAGGGTGGGTGTGACGGGGTGTGCGGTGGGGTGGGGTAACAGTGGGGATTTCCCTTTGGAACCACATGCGACGAGGCATGCAAGATTGACAAGTGCCCAACAGCGTTGCACCGAGGTGGCGGGTCTGTTGAGACAGCAGGCCACAGGTGAGCCACGAGCTTCATTGGCATGTATGCAGAGCGTTAGACGCCTGCCTGCCGGAGCCGCCGCGGCCCCATCACCACCGCCGCTGGCCAAGCAAGCTGCAGGGGGCACGGTCTCGCCCGCAACGCCGCATGCCCGCGCAACCAATGCCGTGCCCGGGGTGCAAATCTGTCCTGCGCCTCGGGCTGCCACGCGCACCTCCTGCTTGCGCTTAAGGAACATGGCGGGGTCGGGCATGGTGCGGCGCAGGATGACTCCCACGACGCCGGTCAGGGCGCCCATCAAGAACGCCACGCGCCACCCCCTGCACAAACGTTGGTTGGTGCCGGCGGCGTTGTTGGTTGTCGCCAAACGTCGTGCCGTGCTGCACTCGGGGCACACCACTTAAAGAGCGAGAGAGGCACGCAGCAAGCGTGTGCTGCTTGACTGGAGCGGCTGCGCGCCGGCGAGTGCGGCTTCGGTTTTGGCGCTGAGGTCTCCGTGCGCAGGTATCGTGCCGCAGAGTCGAATCTCACCAGAGCATCATCTGATCCAGGGTGCAGGCCGCCTGCAGAATCATCACCACCACAAGACCCAGAAGGATGCCTGCGCACACAGGCATAACAGTGTTGGGGTAAGGGGGCCAGCCCGTCGTTGCTTTCATGGCTTGCGCCGCCACACGCAGCAGCCACAGCCCTGGTCGTTGCACTGTCGGTGGCCCTGCCAACAAGACTGTACCCCGCTGAACTAGTAAGCGGACCAGGGGACAAGGGGCCACTGTGCCCGTCATGCTGCCAGCAGCGGGCGCTGCGGGCAGCAGGCGCTCACCAAAGGGCACGCCCGACCAGCCGAGCGCGACGACCAGGCAGCGGTGGGCCGGCGGGGCGGCCTCATACAGGTACCTGG